TTGTAGACAGTCCTTAATGCTGAAAACACAGAGAATGGGCAGTCAAGAGGCTTTCTTTTAAAATAGACTTTTGTGTCCACCCAATTTAAGGTATTACAAGGCCCTTCTCTTTTTTACCCACCTTATTGGGAGTGTTTCCTGGGGAGGGAACCGAATTCCCGGCTGTGGGCGTGTTTCTCGGGCCCGCGTGGCCCTGGGACGCTCCACGAAGACCCGGGGCGGGGCCGCGCGGGGGTCCCAGCGCAGTTCCAGCCCCAGCGCCGCTGCCGCCTGGCCCGCGGCTCCCTCTGCGACCCTGAAAGTGCTCCCGGCGGTGCGGGCGGTGCGTGCGGGACCCTCGCCAGCTGCTTCGCTCCGCACAGGCCCTGCCAGCACCTCCCGGCGAGCCAGGGTCTGGTCTGTCGCCGGGCGTCACCGAACCGCACGGGGATTGAAAGGGTGGGCAGTCTGGGCTCCCCTCTCCCCGGGTGTGGGGAGGGCTCGCTCTGGGTCCCTCGGTTAGAGGAGGAGGGAGCAGTGCTTACCCTTGACTAACAAGCCTGACCGCTCTCCAAAAGCCTGGTGCAGCCGCTCATTCCAGCGCGTGCTGGGAAGGTAGGTTTTCCCAGCACCATCTTTGTGTGATTTAGCTGTCCACAGGGAATCAAATGTGGAATGAGAAGATGAAACTAATCCTTTCCCTTGCACTGTTAGGGGTTGCCATAAACACCATTTGTTAAGAAGCATAATTAGGTTGGGAAAGTGCCTGATGAGACAATTAAGCTACATAAACACACCGAAAACAAATGAAAGCCAGAAGACGCCCACGCCCCTTGTGTAAAGCAATTTTTTGTTTACATGAGAACCAGAGGTCTGGGCTGCTCTAATACAGCGATGTTATTAATGTCTAGTCTAGAAGAACCTAATGACCGTATTTTTTATGAATTTTCGATGCGATGATGGTCACTATAAAAACCTGAACTATCCATGAGCTCTGCACTCCCTTTAGACTAGGATGATTAGGCCACCAATCCTAGTGTCCGGGACGCCAGTGGATTTATGCGTGGAGAGCACTAATTGGCACCCAGCACTTTTAGCTTAAACTCGTAAGCTTAATGTTTGTCTCAGAGGAGACCACCATTTCCTGAAGCATCCCCCACACGGAGAACGTTGCCTGACACCAAGTGACCTTGTCAAGTAGTTGTTGCATGAGGTCACGAGGGCTGCATTCATTTTTCGATATGATCTGTTAAAAGGCCAGAATAGGATGGCCTGGTCTCGAAAAGGGGGGGGGGTTCTTACTATTTTGAGTTATTGAAATTTCCTCACGTCATATCATCTGAGGTATGGAAAGATAATGGGTTGAAAAATGCCTTTCTGGAGTACTAAAGAGCATCAAAGCAACTTCTAAAACGTGTGAAATTAATCCATTTTCAGTGAAAGAATCAGTCACTCTCTCGGCATTACCGAGTGACATACCAGAGTACATGTCAGCTTTCACAGTTCAAGGTCCAGAGTCCTGTGAAAAGGTTTGCAACTGATTTAGAAACTTTGGAGATCAAAGTGCCAGAGGAACAGAGTCAGATAGCTGTCAGGTAAAGCCCCTAAGTGAGCCCCTGTATTTCTCTTTGCTAGAGGAATCGTTTTTGTAGGAATCAGCATATTAAATAATCTCCTTCATTCCTCTTTTTTTGGTAAGTCTCATTTAACAACAGGATCATGCTTACTGGTTACACAGGGAAGACCCGGAAAACAGGGAAAAGCTGAGGAAGACTGTGCTTAAAAGGAATAATATGCTTTAATGGAAGTTTCACTTGCACGACAGAATCCAGGCTGAATAACTTGAAGGATATGCTAGTATTCTAGTGTTGCTACTGTGCTCATCTGTGCGTGGCCACATACACCGTCTCCTGAGGAGTCTCCCTGAGGGTTTTATTATTCAGGTGTTCCCTAAGGAGTGAAAGAGTGACGTGTTAATATTATGACTAACTGGTTTCCAAAGAGCTATGATTTTTTTAATGGTTAATAGACATGAACATATGAATGAACCGTAGAGGCAGAAATGAAGACTCCTTTTTCTCCCATTCTAGGAAAAACCAGCATGTCTTCCTCCAGATTGGGGCTCCGTTTGGCTGCCTGTTTACTAAACATCTCAGAAGCCAGGAGGAAACACGTTGTTGAGAACATTGCAAAAGCAGCTCTTCTTGGGGAAAATGGTAGGAACAACAGACAATTGAAGTGGATAGGTAGTGTTTTGATAATATGGTAATTTTTGTGCTCTGCAGACAGTATCTATAGAACACTCTTCTTTCTTTTCGGCTCCCCTACCACCATCACCGCCCCGTTCCTGGGCTGTAGCAGGCCTCCAGGATACTGAGGTAGAGCAGTTAGGCAGATGTGCACATGTGGTCTTTTCCAGACGCCTGCCTGCGCTCAGCCGTGCAGTTAGGGATAGCGGAGTGTGAGAGGAGGATATAGTTACACAAAGGTTAAATGTCCCCCTCACAGGCCATTTATTTGGTCATTAATAGAATGAGCATAATTGGGCATTTTGCTTTTTATTCAGCAGGTTGCATAAAAAATAAACTTGCCAAATACCAACCACTTTTCAAAGCACTCCTGCCAGCAAAGCCCTTGCTATCATTACAGCACTATTATTTCTATTACATATTTTCCCTATGAAGAAAGGCTTTTAGGCAATTGCATTTAAGTGATGTGCGTAAGATCACTTAGCATTCAGGAGACTGGAGCCCAAGCCTCCTTGCTCCCTGGGCCAGTGTTTACAATGAGAGATATTACTCTCCTTTTTTATTTTTATTTTTTACTCTTGTTGAAATGTTCATGTGATGACATAGTTCTAGGCATCATTTGTTTTTACACACACATACATGCACACACACACATACACACAGACAACACAGTGAGTTTACACACAATTGTTCAAAAAGAAAACTTTGTTATTAAATGAAGTTTTTTTGGCAACAGGCGAGCATTAGGACCCTAGCCCTGAAGCATTTCAGACAGTGTATTGTAATTTCTGATTGTCATTTTTCGTTGCGTTCCTGCTTTTCATGAGAAACAAGTGTTTCCTTCAGCCCATTTCTAACGATGAGCGCATTTAAATTACTGTCTTGCAACTGCACAGGAGCTGGAAATGTCTACGAAAATTCCTGATAATTGCTGATAAGAAAGAAACCTCTGGAGTCAGCCAGCTGTGCTCTTGCATTCTCTTTGTGGGAAGGGAATAGCCCACTCGGGCCCCTCATTGTCAGACAAGTACATCTAATGGGATCGGGTTACCTGTCTCTGTGATTAAATGAATGTGCTGAGACATTTGGGGAAGCCACACACTGATGGATGCCTTGTCTCACTCACAGTTTTTATCAGCTTATTAGTGGCAGCAGCTCAAATGGAATTATAGCTATTATACTCCATTACAGACACCAAACAATTTACTTCTGCTGAGAGGCAGCCCGGCAGCTCCTCCTGCCAGCAGTCATTTTTTTCTATATGCATGCTGAAGAGATTGCAGGAGAAAGTGTTCCATTCTCTCAGCATTTGATTCAATTGAGTCAGATGAAACTGAGAATAAAAGCTTTTCAGAAGAAGATTTAGGATGGAAAAATAAAATCACATTGAAAAGGAGATTGTATGGTCTGGTTCTTGCTTCATCTTTTATAGTTATGAAAATGCAAGGAAGTAGCACTAGCTAAGAAAATGACCTATTGTTTTACAAATACTTTAGAGGCATTTATTTTTCAGCAAGTGGAATAAACCGTAACACCTATAATTTTCCTAACTAAGTAATGTTAAAACATTTAAATGGCCTAAAAGGTCTAAGGTAAAGAAACTTGAGTTATAAACTTTAGACCTACACCAGGGCAGGGCTGTATAGATGCTCATTTGGCTAAGAGCAAGTGACATACTGTAAGTTTATCTTTTAAAGTTATTAAAGTTAATGGCATAGCTCTGCTATAAGCTCTGTCGTGCCTGCATGCAACTTATTTCTCCTCTCTTCTGAAAAGATTAATTGTTAAGCTGCCAGGGGATTAGGGGTGGTGGTGGTGGGGACAAAGGTATAATGGCATGGCGAACGATCTAATTACCGCCTGAAAACTTTTGTCCTTCTCTTTGAATTTGCTTTTGCAGGCTTGAGGGGGACTTTTAAGGGGCCTGGACCAGGCTTGTAAACTTCAGAAATAACGTGGGGTTATATGTGGCTGCCATGCCGGGCAGGGCAGGGCAGGGCAGGGCAGCTTTCTCCTCCGGGTTATGCGGTCACCCAGTCACAGGCCACCGGAGGCTGGAAGCCATTAACATCTGAGGGCTGTGGGTGGCCTCTGAGGAGGTGTTGGGGTCGGAGCGTCTCCAACAGACAGGTGCATGCATCCCAGAAACCTCTGCTTCAGGCACTAATTGGCCCATCCTAGTTTTTCCAGATGGCAGATTTTCATCCAGACAGGTTGATTTCTGGGTTTAGGAAGGAAAAATTGATAAGGCCTGAAAGACGCGACTGAGAAGGAACCGGATTTGGAGTGACACAGCGTGGCAATTGAAAGAAGAGGCTGTCATCTTTGAGTGGAGAGACACCAAAGCCTAGTGTCCGAGCTGAGCCGTCCAGCTATATAGGAAGACGCCGTAGGAGTGGGCGTTACTACCCAGGAATGTCATGATTAGCCAGTGTCACCTCAAAGGTCACAACCCCGAAATTTCTCTGTTGAACAAATATAATTGCATCAGAAGAAGTAAAGTATTAAGGCTTCAGCAGAGAAAAATAATTCTTGCCTTCATAT